CTCTCACACACACACACACACACACACACACACACACACACACACACACACTCTCACAGGTGTGTGTGCACACCTGTTTCTCTCCATCCCTCACTCACTCACACAGTCAAAGACTCTGTGTGGTCCTGCATAAAGCATCTCAGGACAATATGAAGCTGCTGCCGTGCTCGGGTGCATGCTTTTTGCGTGCAACTGACCTCACAATGCAGCAGACATGGAATTACTTCTCCAAAACCCATCAGAAGTACAGCTTCGTGTTTTCACATACCGGTCTACCAACTGCTTCAGAAGTACAGCTTGGTGTTTTCACATACAGGTCTAACAACTGCTGAGAAAGTAATCTCCAGTAGACTGTGGAAATTAACTTTTCTATTTTAACCCACATCGTCTGAACAAGAACCCGAAGCCGCTCAAATTCATCTGAAAGGATTTTATCATTTTGCTGAACTTACGCGCTGCTGTGTCAGAAAGCAAAATCACATTCCGAATTCTCTCATTTGCTGTGGGTGCAGGAGGATCGGATACTATGTCCAAATACTATGTGGTGACTGTGGTCACAAATACTATGGAATCAGATTGCATAATCGCGCACCCAAATACTATGCCAGCCTCCCTGGGCTTTTTCACACCTTTCTGCTAATTTCGATAAGCCAATCGGATAATTATGATGCTATTGCTGGGGATTCCATTTACCGTGAACAGACGAACGAGGGTCTGAGTGGCCAACAAGGAAAGCCCATACCTTCCTATGTAGCCTGTCATCCGACGAGTACAATCTGAGCCGTCAATCTGTGCCGTTTGGAAGAGGTTTCTGCTCCACTGCTGCTAACGGCACAGATTGACGGCTGTCTGAGTAGATTCTTCGCTGTCGATCGAACTACAAAAAAACGAAATAGTGCCAAAAAATACTGGCCTGAACAGAGATCTGGACCTCGACCTGAATGGCAGGTAGGATTGCCGCAATCTCAAGTCCACACGTGCACATAATACACAGAAGCCCTCCTCCGCTTTTGCCCAACGGACAGAAATATTGTCAGTTCTTCAGTCTCTCCTCTTCTCCTTCCCCCTCTTTCTCGCTTCCCTCTCATCAGCCATCTTTCTGATATCCTTATCATCACCTTTGTGTGCCTCATGCCGCCTCCCTCCATCTTCGGTTTGTGAGCGTTCCTTGGGTTCCTTTGCATCTCTCCATTCTCTCTCTCTCTCCCGCTTCTCTCTGCCATCCCTCATCTCTCTCCACTCCCTCTCCCGCTCCCGTTTTTCCCTCCCTTCTCTCGCTTCTGCTCGTTCCTTGTCCTCCCTCTTATCTTTTCGTTCCCTCTCTACCCGCCCACCCCCATCTTGTCGTCCATCCCTACCATCTCTCACTTCCCTAATCTGAGAGTTCTCTCTCACATCCCTCCTGTCCCTCCCCTCTCTCGCATCCCTCACGTCCCTCCTACCTCCTCTCCCACCGTTCCCATCCCACCTCTCTCTTACCCCTCTACTCTCTATTCTCTCTCTTCTCCTTAGTTTCTCATGCAAACCATCTCTTTCCTCCCTTCCCTCTTTTCCCTCCGCTGACGGTTTTGATACCTTCACATCCTTCTTCACAGCACTTTCCATCGTTTGTTTGGAGTTGGATTTTTCGCACGTCCCTTCCTGGAGGTACTCGTCCTCCCAACGCGAGTCGCTGGCAACATATCTGTCTTCAAATCCGTATCCAGATTCAACCTCCCCCCCTTCTGCATCTTCCCAACGGTCATTTGGATCCACTTCCGTTCCATCTTCCTTATCGTCCCTTCTCTCTTCTGAGGGCTCCCTTTCCTCAGAGCCCTCCTCTTGATGCTCGCCATCGTAGCTACCTTCATCATAGCCATCATCTCGTACATCATCACCCTCACTATCGGGCTCCGAGAACAACCCCCTGTTAAGCCAGTCGCGGAGGTCTCGCACATTAAATGGGGCTGACCCTGCACCCCCCATGACAACCGTAGGTGCTTGCCCCGCCCCCACATCGACACCAGCTCTTCTCCCCGCCGACTTCCGTTTCCCGTTTCTTGTCGCTTCATTCGCAGCACCACTGTTTGTTATGTTCACAGTCAAGTTTTGAATATGGTTGATGTCAATACTATACAAGCTATTCTGCAGTTTACGAGGCCGCGTAACCTTCGGCCTTGGCCGTCTTCTTGCCGATGTGTTCTCCTGCCTGGCATCAGCAGCTCTTGTGTGTTTCCGTTTATGCTGATCTCTCGTCACTCCAGCAATGCCGCCACCTGAGGACCCCACCATCACAAGCATTGTAAGCATCAACTACACTTGAATGCTCACAACCAATATGAAAATACAAAAAAATCATTTAAAATTTTGTAAAAGGTAGTACAATAAAAACCCATAACTTCTAAGAAAGCGCTAAGAATCCTCTGCAATCCCCTTCACCGAAAAAACTGTTTGAGAGAGGGCAATCATCTGCAACAACAGATAGAGGCAGCAATACCACCTGTGCATGGGAAACAGAGGGAGGGTTGCAAGCCAAGACAAAACAATGAGACTCTGTTCTTTGAGGCCTCCACCAGAGACGTCACCATTTCAAAATCCAAACGCTTCTTCGTTTTTTTTTTTACTTTCTTTTTTTTTGTCGAAGGAGGGTGGGGGGGTAACTATGCGAGAGTCACAAAAACGAGTTATAATTGCACTATGGGCCAAGATACAGTTTGCAATTGCAGTTCGGACACCCTACCTGGCCAGAAAGCTGGGTTGTATACATCGCCCAAACTGCAATTGCAAACTGTATCTAAAATCTGTGGTAACACAGGAAACTGGTATTGCTTCATTTTTGGAGCCACTAAAGAGCACACTAGAGAATCTAGATATTGATTGAACTCGTCAGCCACCAAAGATGTGAAACGTGGGGGTAGTCATGTTGACAACTTTAACACACCCGTCACGGACATCTTTCAGTTGATTGCTTAACAAGAGAAGATTTTGGACACCTTCTGGCCCCTCAAGTACACTTGTCGCCCTTCCCTTGGACATTCGTTAAAAAAATGTGGGACGACTTAGACAAGGTTAGCATGGCCCTTCGTAAGAATGGCATATACAATATTATACATATCCAGAAATGATCCCACAGACACAGAGAGAGAGAGAGAGAGAGAGAGAGAGAGAGAGAGAGAGAGAGAGAGAGAGAGAGAGAGAGAGAGGGATCAATCTGAGCCAAACTAGTTTTTTTGTGAGGGAATATACGATCTGCGTACCAACGCTCTCGCCTGACGTTGCTTGGGGGATCAATCGATCCTCACTCGGTTCGTATCCAGTTTCAGGCTCAACCGGTAGCAGTCTTCTCCTCCTGACAGCGGCGGGCGCCATCCCTCTGCTGCGCTGCGCTGCAGGTAGTCTGAGTAGCGGCCTTGCATCCCACAAATGCCTTGAAATTACTCCTTTGGTCGGTTTCACATCGTCGACACACGCAATCCGCATAGATAGGGGAATCTGTACTGCGCCTTTGCAGAAAGGTTTCCCGATATACCACCGTGCTAGAGGCTCTGCGCCGACCAAACACACATGGAGATCAGATCTGTCATATAGCACATGCTTATGTTGCTGCATGAGCCAAATGGTGCGTCGTGCGCGTGCTTTTCTTTTCTTTTTTAGGAAGTCCAGATGTCAAGTAACAAGTCAAACCCTTCAGAATGAGGTTTACCGCCGTCATAAAACAAACACACAAACTGAAAAGGCAGCAAGGCTGTGGCTGTTGTGGCTTGCCTGAACTCAAACCCTCTGCAGGTCTTGCAGGCCCCATGCACAAAGTCCAACTAAAGAGAAATGGTCATCGTTGACGAGACGGACTCGCCAATAATGGCAAATATGACCGGAATATCCAAAATATTTCACGGGTTCTGAGCACTTGATGAGATGATCCTTATGCTCTCAAAAGCAACTGGCTTCATCATAAGGACATTGGGCAATTGGTTGTACCTCCCAAAACAAAAATATTGATCCACAGGACTCCTGCCTAGATGAACGAACAGCTACAATGTTCATGCCGTGAAACGTGCTACAATGATGATGCCGTGAAACGTAAATGACCACAGCAGTAATAGGAAAAAACAACGTTTTACCTTCCTGTTCACTTTGCACGTAGCACGGTTAATCGACAGGTAAAGAGTCCACAGGATGATAGACGAGGAGAAGGAGGAGGAGGAAGAGGAGGAGGAGGAGGAGGAGAAGGAGGAGGAGAAGGAGGAGGAGGAGGCATCTATCGACTGCCAATCATGGCAATAATGGATCTGGAGTGGATTGATAGACAACTCAGCGTCGACATTGTACCGCAGGAGACACAGCAATGGCAGCACCGCAGATCGAGCAGCAGAAATCACATGCATATAAACATGCCTTGGCACTTAAAGGCCGAAATGGAAGCAGGCACATTCTCAACGGAACAACCAGCGGGAGTCGACGAACCTGCGAGAGCCCTGCCTTACACAAAAGTCAAACTTTGGGCAACGGAGCGATCAAATAATGAACTATCAATGACAACAAGGCTCCAAGATTAAATGGTTACACATTGACAAAGGTAACCCGAGAACGTTGAGTAGAGTTACGGGTAAAGAAGAAAAGGTATTCACATTACACACACACACACACACACACACACACACACACACACACAGTGAAAGAAACAAATGCCATACACTGAAATGGACCAAATAGCTAACTTCTTCCCCGAAACACAGCGCCCGGTCATCATGAATGTCATTGAGCCGCCTTAGGTGCAATCGTACTCATTGGCGTTGTGTTAGGGAGATGAAGGTGGTCACAAAAAAAATCTCACAATAGCATTTTCAGAAACCTTTTTGAACAAGAACAACTTATTGAGAGTCGATTGGACTAGGAAGAAGAGAAAAAACTGGAGAGGAAACACACGCTCACAAAGGTAGGAGCAACTTTATAAAGGGAAAGGGAACGATGCAGACTCTGTGGTGGAGGTGAGACAACCGCATACCGTAGGAGTGCGAGGAAGCAAGCATCTGACAGGGAGGACATGAGAATGACATGCAGTCTGTACTAAGAACAAACTGGATAAGATCACCCGCATGGGGATCAGCCCGCAGACCGGAAACGCTCCCTACATAGTTCGAGACGATGGCTCATGTCACACTCGATACATCGGCAATCCTCAACCACAGTCACACACAGAGGGGGGAAAGAGACCAGAACTGTGTTGGCACGTCAGAACCGCAGTCCTTGAGAACATCATCGTACCCAGTCCCCCCTTCTGTCCATGGCGAAATGGGCTTGAGCGAATTCCATCAGAGCTGCACAGTGCACTCTGGAGTTGTGCAACTGCAATTTGGGGATACATGAATGGTAAGCGTTCGGGAGTTGGAGTGATCATCGGTTATGGGATCTTGGCCTACTGGAGTTGCGGTACTCATTGGCTATGAGAGTCGCGACCGATATGACAAGTGCTTGACAGCAGGGACACTCTGGAGGCTGCGGGGGTTGACCAGGAAGTGGAAGGTCGGTCGTGGAGGCGGCTATGACCGGACTCGATGCAGTAGGGCACCAGTATGGGGAGAGAAAGACCTTCAAGGGATCTCTGGAGGGTAAGGAGCTTGAACACGGAGCAGGATATCGGTAGTGGAGGAGGCTGTGACCTGACACCACGCAGTAGGGCCACAGGAATGGGGAGAAAAGAAGTTGGGAGGCTATGAATGGCAGTAGCTGAAAACATTATCTTGATATTGTTCACAAGTCGTATGTCTCGGAGAGATCTACCTGCTGGTTATGCTTGTCTACGTAGAGGCATTCAGACCTTCAATCGTTGTAGACTAATTACCTCTCCGATGATGTAACAATTTGCGACGATCGAAAGGGATCGGGAAGAGGAGAAAGATAGTGGTCTAAGGAAGGGGTTGGAATCATCTGTTCTGTTTGATCGTCTTCTGTGCTCAAAGATGATATCTGCAAGTGTTCCACTGTATTCAATCACCACCTTGTTCTCTAATGTGAGGCATCACAAGCGTAGAGTATGAAGATCATGTGGATGCCAATCGGTGGGACTGAGTTTTAAACCACCACTACCTTTCCCAGGCAACGTCAAGAATCGTGAATGTGACACTTTTCCAGGTTCTCGGGAGGCTTGGGGGCTACCGGACCCCGATGGCTGGCAGCGCCAGCCAAAAGGGAGGGAAAAAGAACGCTGCGCTGGCACTTCGGCGAAGCTTGGCACGCAGGAGGGATCCACCTCGGCAAAAAGAAGCGCGGAGGTAGTGGTGGTTTAAGGCCCTCCGCCGCTCAACCGGTGCACAACAACATCTCAGTACTCGATGTGAGCTAGGACGCAGACGAGACAAAAATGCATCTGATGCGTCTGATGATGGTGAAAGCGGTGTCGAGGGAAGTTCACACAAGTGTGGCAGGCTAGCAGCATAAAAGTCATCGAGTGTGACCATCCTGAGCGACATGTACCTGCGTGCTCTCTACTTGATTCGAGAAGAGAATGCATGTATGTAACCACCCCCTACGACTTCACCAGCTAAGCATTGCGCCATAGCCATAGGGAGTGAGCGTGCATCATCCACGCAAGCTTCTCTCGCCTGACCTTGGCCAGCAATTGGCTCTGACATTGTTTCTTCTGGGATGCCCATCCCAATCAGCGCCCGCTTTGCACTGTATATATCTTCAAAGACGATATTACCTGTACACACCAACCACAATGCCATCAAAAGTAAGTCACAGGTCATGCATAGCATGTGGACATCAAGTTCACAGGAAATGAAGAAGTGCAAGAGACTGCCACCCAGCATTGTCCATTACAAATTAGGAGGAGCCGAGAGACGGCCTCGGACAATTCCTTTTGATGAAACTTCATCTACTGATTCTACTCCAAGTACCAAAGCTCATTAGTTTTTATGACTTTTAAGTCGCTGAGCGACTTTCGCATAAATCCAGCTTAACCATTGTCCCGCACTATACCTTTGTTGGCCTTTTGGCTAAAAATAGCTCACGTTTGGTATCTGTTCTGGTCACTTTAATATCCAATTTGTGGTCCATGGGACCACATGATTTGGGAAAAAAAAAAAAAAAAAAAGGAAAAACAGCGTCCCACACTGCCCTACGTTGCTTCATTGTGCACGTCCTTCCCGGTGCTGTGTCGTAATCCCCAATTGTACTGGCTACGGACAACACACTTTCGCTCTGTTATCAAGACCCATTCCTTTTCATTTTTGTATCAAATAATTCAAACCCTATTCGCCAGTTCAGTGTCCTCCAGTAAGGTTTACCATGCAGCTGTCTGTACACCCTCTTCACATTTTTTGTGAAACAGCCATGCTCTAGAAGTATTCAAGTCAGAGTGAGCTCCCACTGTAGTCCTCTCCGCTGTCACCCTCAATGTGCATTTTCTTCACCTTCATCTGGTTGGTTGCTTACTGACATTCTCCTCTCTCCTGTGTCCCTGCTGACCCACTTCTATGTCCCATCATCACCCCTCTCTCTCTCTCTCTCTCTCTCTCTCTCTCTCTCTCTCTCTCTCTCTCTCTCTCTCTC